GGCCACAGCCACACTTCCCTTCCTGCAGCTGGGCCCAGCTGCAGGAACCACTGGGTTCATTCATACCCATGTGGGACACTTCCATGTGCCACCCCACCATGTTGGCAGGACTGCGGCATCCACTGGGGCTCACTGGGCTGGGAACAGCCACAGCATACCAGCGTGCAGGAGGAGCTCCCAACCCCCCCCGTGTGCTCAGGGCTGGGGGCTGGAGCCCCTAATTGCCAGGAAGGTGCTTGGGGGTCTCTGCTCTGCCTGTGGCTCCATCCCTGCAACTGCACCCCAGAGGGACACAGGGGGGACATCAGGAGGGGGATCGGGCACCTCCAGCAGCAAAAGCATCTGTGTTTCTGCAACTGCGAGTCCATGGGGATAGGTCAATGGAGAGGAAGCCCCTTGGCAGGAGAGAGGCACATCCCCACGCAGATCCTGTGCCACAGAGCCACCCCGCCACCATCCTTAGTTCCTCGCTGCAATCACCACGGACAAGGCCACACCACCGAGTGCGATGGCTGTTGCACCGAAGAGCCACTTCCAGGGGATGGACTAAGGAGAAGAAGGTGATGGGATGTGTGTGACATGCCATGAGCCCTGGACAGGCAGCCCTGCCTGCGCTGGCATGGGACGGCAGGGCAGCACCGAGCTCCCAGCGCACAACCGAGATAACACAGCCCAAAAAGGCAAGTGCTGCGTCGGCTGTGCCCAGCGTGCGGCCAGCACATCCACAGGGACAGCGTGTGCTGCTGGAGTCCAGCTGACAGCGCTTTCCACCGCCAGCGGGGTCCCGAGTGCGACAGCTGGAAGCAACGTCTGCAGCCTCCAGCTGGCATTGCTGGCCCCGCTGGACAGAGTCACGAGCACAGCTGCAGCTATCGGCGTCTTCCAAAACACATCCCTTGTGCCCAGCCCAGCGCTCTCCACCCCAGGGGTGACCCCCACCCACTCGGTCAGCCCCCAGGAAGGTCAGGACCAGCCCTTACCCAGGATAATTTGTCTTTGTACTTCCCCGGGGTCCCGGCAGCGCTGGGATTCCCGAGCATCTTTCTGTACATCTCTGTTTCCATGTTCTTCTGGTCTGCGTGCTTCTTCACCAGCTTGGAGAGCTCAGCGTGGATAGTCTGGGGAGGAAAGTGCGGGGCTATGGTTATGGCCCTGGAGGGGACAGGGACCACAGTGCCACCACTAGCAGGTCCAGTCACCCCAGGGCCACGCAAGGCCTTCATGGCACAACTTAGAAGAAGCTGGGGGGGCTGATGGCCTGATCCTGACCTGCTCCCATGCACTGAGGGGCTGCACCCAGCTGGCATGGGGCATCCAGGCTGGGTCTGGGTGCCCCTCTGTCCTTTCTGGCCATCCAAGCCATTCCCTGCCTGGCAGCGACAGCCGGGGCTGGAGGATGCACTGCAGGAGAAAGCTCTGTGTCCTGCATAGAGCTCGCAGGCTCCCAGAAAGCCATGAGAACCAGCAGCGAGCTGAACACAGCAGGCATCGCCAGCCATTGCCCAAGCCCACGGTGGCAGGAAGGACGTGAGGTGGCTGCGGTGGCACAGCGTCGGTGCAGCGGCCGTGCTGTGCCCTCTGCCGGGGACACTGCACTCTGGGCTGCTCCAACGCCTCCCTGAAACACCGGCATGGACCCACGCTGGCTCCGGTCCGTGTTGGTTCACCCGGAGCTTGGCCAGGACTTCATCAGACCACACCACACTCAGCAATGCTGCCTTCAACTGAGACTTTGGATGTCTGGAGTGTGCAAAGCAGCAAAGCACCGGCAGGCACCCCTGAGCTAACTGGAGCTGGCATGTCAGTGCAGGACAGACACCAGCATTGCCCTGCTCCCAGAACACGCGTTTCCAAGGGGTCAGGAGAAGCGAGCCCAGCAGATGATGGCCTGTAACACCTGAAAGGTGCCAACAGCCCCAGAAAACTGCATTTCCTCATCCAAGACAGGTGGAGCCAAAAGTTTCTCGAGCCTGTTTTCACCACTGGTAGCCACAGCTCGTGACTCACGGATGCGTATTTAACGCTGCCATCTGGAGCGGCACTGCCACTTCCCCAGGAGTCCCGGCAGCCGGCCGGAGAGGCCAGTAATTTGTTGTATTTGTGGTTCTACTGGTAACGTCACTGCCAGGAATTGTGATTTTTTCCAATTAAAAGTTTCATCTGAATGGGCTGGCAAGCAGCAGTGACATGCTGGAGACACACAGGGGGTGCAGCCTGCATTGCTTCTGCTGCTCACTCACATGGCTGCCCACCCTAAACTGTGGCAAAGGGTTTGGGATTCTGCCCATCCCTCCCCGTGGGTGCTCTCCAAGCTCTATGGGTGCTGCGGGGCCACCGAGCACCTGCATTCAGCGTCACATTCTACCCACAACTTCTAGGCACCAGATAAAGAAGAATCACAGAATCACAGAACGTTAGGGATTGGAAGGGACCTCAAAAGATCATCCAGTCCAATCCCCCTGCCGGAGCAGGAACACCCAGATGAGGTTGCACAGGAAGGCGTCCAGGCGGGTTTTGAATGTCTCCAGAGAAGGAGACTCCACAACCTCTCTGGGCAGCCTGTTCCAGTGCTCTGTCACCCTCACTGAGAAGAAGTTTCTTCTCAAATTTAAGTCATGACACAGATCATGACACAAACTGTGATGGTGGGGTGAAACTCCCAGAGAAGAGGCAAATAAAACAACAGACCCAGTCAAGGACTCAAGGCCACCTGCAGAACCAAGCCCCCTACCTCAACCCCACAGCACCTCCCTGCCTCTCCTTGCCCAGGCTTGCTCCTGCCGGGGCCATTTCCTGGCGCTGGGGTTTGATTTCTCCCAAGGCTGTGGCCCTGCAGCTGATCATTAACCAACAGGAAATTCCTGACCCAGCGCTCGCCCTGTCCTGGGCACTGGACCGAGGTCTGGGCTGCTCCTGACGCCCAGTGAATCACGCTCCAGGCTGCTGAGCAAGTCTGTGGGGATTCAGCTCCACTCCACATCCCGCAGCCGTGGCACGAGGCACTGGAGCCACCCGGGGAAGCCGGAGCAGCCAGGACTGTATATGCAGAATTACCAAAGCAGGGATGGGTTGGCAGAGTCCTGCCACTGCAGGGACCAAAGGGCAAAGAGGGAGACGCAACACGGAGATAAGGGACCCACCAGCCCAGCCATGCTCAGACGTTGCACCACACAGCGTGTTGCTCCATGGCTGCCCAGACCCCCGGGGGCTGTTTCCAGCCTCCCTTCAGCTATGGGGGGGCTTCAGCCACGGGGGACACAGAGGTTTGCAGGGACACGGCCAAAAGGAGACACCCAGCTCAGTAGGGTCACCTGAACCACCCACAGCGGTCTACCTTGTTTGATGGCTCCAGCTTCAATGCCGCCTTTAAGATGGGGATGGCCTCTCTGTATTCGCCCTGCTGAGCCAGGACCTGGAAGGCAAGGAAAGGATTGAGCATGGACAGCTGAGGTCAGACCTCATCCCCGCCTGCCATCACGCCATGGGGAACAGACAGCAGCGCCTGCCTCACCTTGCCCTTTCGGAAAAGAGCCTTAATATTCTCCGGCTGGTGCTCCAGAACAATGTTACAGGACTTGAGGGCCGCCTCATAATGGTCCAATTTAAGCTGTGAAGCTGCCAGGTTGTTGAGACATTTCACCTTCACGTCCAGCAGCTCGGCCTCCTCCTCTGAGCTGAAGTCAACTGCAAAGACCCCAGAGCCGGGTTAGAGTGGGAGGGGATCCCAGGCAGCCCCCACCTGCAGCGGGAGCAGGTACCTTTAGAGCTGGAACCGATAATTTTGAGGGCAATGTCGTAGGAGTTGATGGCCAGAACGTAATCTGCCTGCTGGTAGAAGAAGTTGCCGCGCTCCCGCTTTCGATTGGCCAGCTCTATCTTCTCCTTCCCACTGAGTAGCTCCAGGTCCGGCGCGTCCTGAGCTGCCAGCAGCTCCACCTCCAGAGTGAGGGCTGCGTTGGGTGGGACGTCAGGGCTCCTGCGCAGAAGGGGACACAGCCATGGCACCGTTACCACCTTTGCCAGCTCCACAAGCCACTAGGCAACTTGGATTTAGTACTGTGGCCCAGAAATCAGAGCTGTGGAGACTCCACAGGACAGGCCACCATACAGATCATCCCCCCCAGGCAGGACACGCTGCTGTCCCCTGCATGTGGCAAGCAAGCCGGGTCTCTCTGCACACAGACACTGTGGCTTGCTGGCTGGGCTGTCACCAAGGGTGACACCAGGGATGCCTGTCACAGCCCTGTTTGAGGCCATCCTACTCCACCCCACGCACTCCCCACTCACCTGCCCTGAGCGCCATAGCAGTACTTGGCATCTGACACAATCAAAGCTGTCTCCCCCATTTCCAGGAGCTGCACACACAGGTCCAGAGCCTACAGAGAACATTGTGGGGAGGGAGCATACGCAAGGGCAGAGGGGATGCTTCTGACCCCCCAAACGGGGATGTCACCAACACCAAATCCTCCCTGTGCCTCCCAAGGTGAGGTCCTGCCTCACAAGGCAAAACCAAGGCAGCGATAAAACCAGGAGAGCTTTCTCCCAGGCCTGACCTGCAAGACATCGCAGTCCCCCAGCGTGAAGGTGAGGGCAGGGTTCTCCTCCACCACGCTTCCCCCCCCCCCCGCCCCCATCCTCTAGCGTGGCCTTCAGGCGGATGGTCACGTTCTGGCCCTTGTGGGGACGGGTGTCCACCCCCTGGCCCGGCACCAGCGTCTTCTTCTTGAGCAAGCCGCTCCCTGGGCAAGGAGAAGCCGGAGACGCCTCAGCCCACAGCCAGGAGGGAAAAGCCTTGCTCCCACCGTCCCACTCTTGGCACAGGGAGCACCGGCAGAGCCGCAGGGAGGCCTGTGAGGCGGGCCCCCCCTGTCCCGGCTCTCACCCAAAACCTGGAGCCACTCCTCGGGGTCCTCAGCCACCTGCCCCCCAGCCTGCTCCGAGGGCTGGGTGTCCTCCTGCGGCGGGGCCGGCCTGCCCACATCCTCCAGCGGGGGCAGCTCGCTCAGGTCTTCCTCCTCTTCCTCCTCCTCTTCCAGGACCTCGAAATCCTCCACCGTATCCAGCTGAGCGGCATCAGCCGGCGGTG